TGTAGGGAAGGGATTGGGCAATGACTACTTCCATTGCATGAAATGCAATGCCTGCATGTCACTGTCCTTGGTAGATCATGTATGTCGGGAGAAGTGCTTAGAAGATAATTGCCCGATCTGCCATGAGTACATCTTCACTTCCAGCTCTCCGGTGAAGGCCCTTCCATGTGGTCACTTAATGCACTCATCATGCTTTCAGGTACTTGAGTCCGCTGATGTGCATTTTTTCATAATCAAAAACACCTCGAGCTTGTGCTAACACAATGGATTTATCGGTTTCTGATTGCAGGAGTACACATGTTCTCATTACACATGCCCCATTTGCAGCAAGTCGCTTGGGGACATGCAGGTCAGTTTACACCATTCTTACTAACACATCGCTTTTTATATAGAAGTTGTCATATCGGGGATTTTTAGTTTTTGAAAAGTGAAAAGATTAAAGTCCTCTTGTATTTCTAGGAGTTCTTATTATCCTGTATGAATCTGAAAATGGGACTAGTAAAGGCATCATATTACTCTCTGAAGTAAAAGTCCTCACATCTTGGACCCCAAATTCTTCAGAAAAGAACGAGAAACTGAGATATTTTGAAATATCTGTTTGAATGTAAATGCCTCGTGTAACAAACAGGAAAGGCCATAACCTAAATGGTCTTCTGAATTAGAGCAAGTGTTACAAGTCTCAAACTTCAAACTTTGAGGTATTCTCTAATCAAAGAAATATATCTTGCAGGTCTATTTTAGGATGTTAGATGCATTGCTTGCAGAAGAAAAGATGCCTGATGAATATATCAACCAAACCCAGGTCTCTCTCTCTCTCTCTCTTCTCATGTGTGTGTGTATATATATATATAATAAACCCTAAATGGATGATAAAGATGCAAGGATTAACACAATGACATGATTAAATGTACAGGTGATATTGTGTAACGACTGTGAGAGGAAAGGAAAGGCTTCTTACCATTGGCTTTATCATAAATGCCCATATTGTCGCTCTTACAACACTAGGCTTCTTTAAACGCCTATACCAAATTTTTCCTTTCCCCCATTTCACCCTTTGTTGTACAATACTATGTCTGCGTTTTTTTCTCAACCTCGTATGTCTGGTTAGTTGTACAAAAAGGATGAGTTAATAAAGTTCCTTTTTTTCGGTAAAAAGGACAACTATCATTCCCTTGCATGTGGTTTGTGTTTCAATGGGAATACATTTCTTCTCTCTTTCTTATTACCTTTTCCATCTGCAGACTCTCTTCATTTCTTCTCTCTTGATAATTTAGAGATTTTGAAAATGAATTATTTTTTTAAATACAAACTTGAATACAATTCAGTGTACTGAAATTCAATTTAAATATCAAACGGTACGAGCTTTTATGATATACTGTAAGATTGAAAACACAAAATAACTAGACAAAGAAACAGCAAATGGTCATTTAGGTACATGTCTCTTTGTTGAACTTGTCAAACAGAAAAGACAAATAAAAGATTTAACTGGCATGAATAAAAAACATAGAATTCAATAAATACCTAAAAACATTTAGCACTACTTGGCAGCTGGTGATACACTCACAAGTCCAAGATCTTGCAAGTAGAGAGAAAATACCGGTCGCCGGCAACTAGTCCCTTACCGTTAACTTAGGAACTCGGTAAACAAAAACCATTTCCCAAAATGCATTTGGCCAAACCACAAAATCCAAAAGGCCAAATTCATACGCCACAGACTAAATCTAATTACAGCAAATGCATCCTCTCCACATAAGACTGTAGTAACCACCTGTTCAGAGGCTCTCCACAGCCAACAAAGCAACCCGAGTTCCCGTTCTCCGTGAAGAATGGAAAACCGAAGATATTGAGCAGATCTTCCACCGCCTGTCTCACCAGTGACGTGCCCGTGACTCTACTTCGCCTGCCCCAACCTGTAACGATGTCAATCCGGGAAGGACCAGCAGCTCCTGAGACCAGCATTTTCTTGCGGAACCAGGCTAGTGTCCTTGAGAGAGCTGTGATAGCAGTTCCTTCCGACATCACGTGGAGATTGATAAGCCAGTAGCTGGAGCTTTTCTCCTTAACGGCATCAGGGTACACATTCTTCATTGCAGCGACTTCCCAGACAGAACCCGCCTCTTCTTTTAGCCCTGACTTGTGGAGGAAGTCCACCACAGCATCCATAAGCCCTCGTTTGCTCTCTCTGTCCTCGCTGTGCATGAGGTCGAGGAAGTTACTGACATGGTCCCGCACGTTTTGGCCGTCAGGTCCAGCAGGCGGCATTTTAAGGAGAAACATGTGTGCTGGATGACCTGTGACTGCCATTAGCTGGCAACAGAAGCCCATGTCAAGGTTGGACCGAGCATCGGTGCAACTACTCAAGAGTAATGTGTAGGTCTGCAAAGAAGGCTGTAGACCGAGTGACAACATGTTTTGTAGTAAGTTATAGGCTTCAGCCAGCCAATGAACCCTAAGGAAGGTGCTAAGAAGGGAATTGCATGTCGGGACATTAGGTCGTAGACCAGCATGAAGCATGGCCTGATACCACTGCCAAGCCTTTTCCACGTTACCGGCTTTTCCCCACAAATCCACCAAAAGACCATAAACCGGTTCATCAGGGATCCAGTTTTTGCGTGTCATCTCGGTGAAAACAGCCTCTGCTTCCTCAAGATATCCACAGTGTCCAAGCACCTCCATTACTATACTGTATGTCACTTTGTCAGGTTCAAACCCCGCATTTTGCATGTCTCGATAGAGCTTCAACGCACTCTGGTAGTTCCGTGCCTTTGCATGTAAGGCTATCATGATGTTGTATGTGACCAAGTTGGGCGTACAACCCTGACCAACCATTTCACAAAAGAGCCTATGAGCTGCAGGTAAATGACCAGCTTTTCCAAGACAGTTGATTATAACACTATAAGTGAAAGTATCGGGAGAAAGACCAGCTGCTTGCATTCTCTGGTACATGTCCATGGCAATGTCAAGATATCCAGCTTTAGCATGAATATCTATAAGGGTACAGTAAGTTACACGGTCAGGTTCACATCTAGCCTCTTGCATTTGATGGAACACGTTCATAGCATCATTCAGATAATTCGCACGGCCATAGCTGTGGATAAGTCGATTGTATGTCACAGTATTTGGCTGGCATCCCTCCCTAACCATCTGATCCATAAGCTTGTTTATTGCACCAAACTGCTTTGCACGACCAAGGATACCAACCATGGTAGTGTAAGTGTGCCCGTCGTGCTTGAAACCTGGTTGCCTTTTCAACCAATGGAAGAAACCAAGCGCAGCTGTATAGTCATCCATCTGTTTAAGAACTTGGTTGGCTTGGTATGCATCCATCCTCAAACCGAGATTTTGAAGAGCCTCTTCCGCAGCTGAGCCCCACCTGAATCTTCTTAATATACTAGAAACATTTTCCACAACATATCCGGTGTTACAATGGTGCCGAGGTGTCGGAGCAGCCCCTGGTGGCATTTTCATCATTTCCCTTGAGGGTTTACCTAAACCTTCAACACCGGATTTCATCATCCTTTCGTCTGAAGAATGCATGTTACAGTCATAACGACCTGGCACAAACCTATTGGAATCAACATTGGGTTTTTGTGGCATACTTTTCCTCTTGCCAGGGACTGAACTTGACAAAGCCTGAGCATCAAATGACTTCCCTGCAGCACCATGTGAAACTTGTTTAAAGCCTTTAAAAAATCCCACCTTTTCTGCTTCCTTAGCACCTTGATAGTTGCTTGTAGGATTCTTTCCTGATGACTCTTTGGCAGATGATTTAGGGTAGACTTTCGCAAAGTGCTCTCTTCGGATGGATTTCACATTTGATGGCTTGACACTTGAAATAGGCCGAGTAGGATCGACCATACTTTTTGCGGGCAAGCCAAACATATCAATTCCATTGGATAATTGTGTCTTGTAGTTCACTAAATCTGATAAGAAACTAACTGCAACAATACCAGCCCTATAAAGCTGATCACCGATCGGAGCTGATTCTTCAGTATCCTCAACAACCGTGCCAGTATAATTTAGAGAATCCGATCGTCCCAGTGAAGCAGGAGATGAAACAAGTTGTGGCAGAAGAGATGGCCGGTCAAAACGCTCAACATTCTTCAGACCCACAGGTTTACCCGGCTCTTTCAGTAATATACTTCCTGCTACTCCAGCTGATGACTGGCGGACAAAACTTGATGCCCTTTTGTCAGTCTGTACAACTTCATTCCTAATATGCTGCCTTCTTGAGACACAAGTTTCATCCTCAGTGCATGTACAAGAATTTCCATCAGATGCATTACATCTTGATCCATTGAGAAAAAAGGATCTTGCAGTGCTGGAAAGATTACTGATGTGCTTGGCCCTTATCATTATCTGCAAGTAAAAAAGAATGCAAGGTCAAGCAGGTTAGCAAGGAGTTATATCAACCGTAAGTCAAATATACGAAATGCGCTTAGCTATTTGCATCATCTTTGTGTTAGCTTCTTACACTACCTGATAGATCATCAAAGACAAGGTGATCCCAGTTGACGTAGTGAGTTTAGTGGTCTGTAAAGTCACGATATGTCAACAGGGTCACCAACTCGGTAACTACCATTCATTCCCCTGGCTCATAACCAAGCCATGGCAACACAAAATGAATTCCATTAACCAATTACCATTCTCCGCAAACCTGTATTTCTCTTAATCCCTTCAAAGTACAAGAAATTGGGAACTTCTATGTTCGTACAAAAAACGGCTTTGTCCCCTGCAGCGCAAAATCAACCTTTTCCATCTTTCACTCACATAAGTGAATGAACGATATGACACTTAAAAATTTGGACCTTCCATTTTTTCTGTCAGTTTCTCTAGAACAAGAAATCCTTCTCAAGCCAGAAAACTTGTTACCCTTTAATTGTCAAACATTCTCGCAAAAGAAAACACAAAAAGGCCACCACCAGACTACATCGCTATCCTTTCACAATGCGATGAGCGATTACACTATTCCGCGTCCCCATTTTGACATTCATTTTAACCAGACGCTCAAAATCAAGTGCAGCCACCACAAAGAACTGTGCCTCAGAATCTCTTTTCACCATCTGACACGGTCAAAACTACTCGATCAAGCCATAAAGAAACATGAGAATGCTGAATTAGTATAAACAAATACTGCAACAACCAACAAAATCAACAGCCAAAACCCTTTCTTATGCAATTAAATCCAACCTCATTCTTACGTATTTTTCACTCAGCAACGGCATACAGCCCAATACTCAAGGAATCAACATGTACTCTTCACCTCAATTGTGTCTTCACTTTCGAACACTCACGCAGAAACTTTACACAGATTACTGGCAAAAATCTAAACTTTAAACAACCAACAACGCTTTTATCAATCCCGTAGAAAAGGAACATGTGCATTCAGAACATCAAAGGACAGACAAAATCTGAAAAAAAACGCGTAAAAACTCCAAATTCGAACCAAATAAACAACAGAACATAAACCGAATTCCAACTCTCCGGGAATTCGGTAACAACAGTACAGTGGGAAAATACAACCCAGATCACGGAAAAGCGGAAAAGAGCAAAAGAAAAGGGGAAAAGGGCCAACTAGCATAAACCCAGAAATCGATAGTATTGACGAACAACAAAGAAGTTAAATTTCCACCGAGAAGAAGGAAAGAAGCAAGATCACGGCACTGTAATCACCTGCAAAACGGTGGCGTTGACTTCCTCGGTCCTGTTTGGTTGCCGAGAAAATTTTACAGGGGAAGAGAAAGAGAGAAAGAGAGAGAGAGTTTTGGAGGCGGATTTCCCCTTCGTCAAACAAAGAGTTTTTTTGCTCTCCAAGCAAATGGGGCAGAGGCTGCGAAGCTGCGAAGGTCATAAAGTTTTACTGTCTTTCCTTATTTATCTATTTATAATTTATATTTTCTTAAGCGTTGCCCTACCAAACCTTTCATTTATGCCCCTAAACCTTTATATTTCTTTAAGCATAGCCCCATATATTTATTTTTCTTTCAGAATAGTCCAAGTTTATAATCATAGAAATTGGTCTGAATGGAGAGCCTCAAATTGCTACAAGATAGAACTATGAATGTTTTTTTTTTTTTGTTATAGTAAGAAAAATCGAATGAAAAACTAATATATTATACGGACATTACAATTATAAAATCAAATTGCGAGTTTTACTTGTGAAATAAAATCATTTTGTTATTATATATTCGCTTATCTTCGGCCATGATTGGCATGTCATTACTTCTAAAATTAATTGTCAATCAATTTATAACAAGATCGAAATATCACACACATACACTAGGACCTATACTCATTATATGGTGATGATGTGTTTATGGATCACTTTATTTATAGTTATAGAAATTAAAACAAAAAAAAAACAAATTCATCAACAATCACATTTCTTCATTTTTGGCATGGGTAAGATTTGTTAAATACATAAAGAATTGAAATAAAATACATTTTTTATCTGAGAAAAAATGAAAAAAATCGATTTGAGAGGACATCTTAAAAATGAAGATGACGTGATTTCCATTTGTAATTTTATCATCGATCTCAATATTTGAAATTCTACATTTGACCATTGAAAACCCAATATTTCACTTTCACAAATTTATTACAACTTATGCATCAAAACACATCATCATAACTTTATGTTTTTTTATATCTATAACTTTATGTTATAGTATATATAAAAGAGAAAAAGATTGGAATAAATAAATAGAGGATTGCAAGGCTAAGCAAATTATGAAATAAATTTTAAAACTCTTATTGAGGTCAGCAACCCATTTCAGGGCAAGAAAAACTAATGCTCTTTCATCTGATCTAACGGAAATAAAATAAACAATTTCCCGTTTCTATTATGTAAAATACTATAGTGTCTGCTGTATGGACCGCCTTTTATTAAAGTTTATAACATTTTGAGTAAAAAAAAAAATGTTCATTTTGATAAAGTCAAGAGTTTTCGGCTCGTTAAAGATTAAGAATCAATGACTTTTGCTCTTCTTTTTTTTTTAAAAAAAAAAATCGTATGGCTCCTCTGCCCATGAAAATTTCAAAGTGTACAATCGCCCACGTGGCGTCGTTTTCATGTGTAGCACATGACTGCTTTGTTGTTTTATTAAACTTTAAAGAGGGTGATAAATTTGGTGGACAATATTCGACCGAAAAATTAAATATCCTCTTTTTTTTTTTCTAAACGAAAATAATAAATATCTGGTTTTGCCGCAAAAAAAAAAACTATAGTTTTATAAAATTTCAAAGGTAAAAGATGACGAGGTCCTTCCCAACAAAAAATTATAACAATTGAAACTAAATATAATGCCAAATAGAACGTAAATAAAATCGCGATTTCTTCATTATATCTTAAAAACGTATTTTGAAATCGTATTTTGAAATCGGAATAACAGTTTTTGAGATGTGATCCACTTCTAATTCCCTGTTCGTTTATATCTCACTCTCTACCCAGACCTTATGATCCAACAAAGGAAATAGACAAATGTTGAATTGAAAACAGAGTCGTTATCATAACTAAGATGTCATATGCTTCCAAATATCATATCTTATATAAGTGAGGGGCCTAGATACAGTTTTGGGCATTTGGGCCTCATGAAGGGATGGCCCAATATAAGATAATATTGATTGTAAGATTGAGTGGGTGCATTGCATGTCCTATATTCTTGAGATGTATTGGAGATGCATATGGCCAGGAGCGGATGCCTGTGTATCATAATAAGGTCCTTTGCTCCTTTTTTTTTAATTATAATTTTATAATTTTTTTTTATAAATTTTTAAAATAGAATTGTTAAATATTTCCGTATTAATATCTTACAATTATGTTTGTCCCCTTTTATATTTCAAATTGAGACAAATGCATACTATTTCAATTTAAGTTATATCTAAAAAACATTCTGGTTTTTATTTTAATTTTTTTTAGTTATTTTATGTTCCATTCGTATTAAATTTAATTCCCGTTAATTTTATTTAGAAAAATAATTATTTTTTATTTAGATACAGTAGCTGTTATCTAGTTCATTTTTGTATATTCGAAAAATTTTCATCCCGAATTGATAATAAAAAAAAAAATCAGTTATATTTTTTTACCTGTGGCACATATTTCTTTCATTTTCTTTTTCACGACTTACAGTTTTATTGTATTCAATTTCATTTTTACGCTACATATTATGAATATGTTAAGACTAAGATAATGTTCAATAATTGATAGGAAACATTAAATTTTAGTTTGATAATTATATTTTATGTTCTCTATCGTTTGTACGTAGTTGTATCCGTATCTAGAGAAATAGAATAATATTTAATTTAATTAACTTTATATTTTTAATCATTCGGATATTTTAAAGTTGAAATATAGAAGATGATTATACGTCTCGTTTTTCTCTTTTAACTTTTTTTTTTCTTTCTAAAATATTGTAAAAAATTATCTAAATGATCTGATTATGAATATAAAATCATTAGTAGAAATTAATAGAAAACAAATCGTTGTCAAAATGGTATAAAATACACTAGGATTTTGAATGAGTTTCGAGCATAAAACCATAGTGGTGACCCCAAAACATTATTCAATTCAATCATAGACTAAGTTCTCATAGCTTTATATATGATTATAAAATATCTTATAATTCATATCGTATGGTTTATTTGTCACAACCATCTTATATATTTATATGCATAAAGAACCTTTTTTTGTTTTGTGTGTAAGGTACGTTTTATAAATGAAACCCCAAAACTAAAATAACTCTTCAGACAGACTCCTCAGTCTCTCCGTTGACTTGGTTTGACTTCTCCTTCGGAACATCCTTGTAACGGTACCAATACGAAACCAGCAAGAAGTAACCCAAGTTTACAGCCATCAACCCTGAAACCAAGAAGTAGAAATAGTCGAGCTTTCCCTTGTTCAGATCTTCGGGAAGCCAATCCCCCGACGCCGCCTTCTCGGTTTTATCATTGACGATCGATATCAGAAACGTGCTCAAGTAGCTCGAGATCCCGATCCCGCAGTAGTACAGCGATCCCGCGAAACTTCTCATGTTTTCGGGAAACTGTTTGTAGTAGAACTCCATCTGGCCAACGCCCGCGAATGCTTCCGCGATTCCCATCAGTGCGAGCTGCGGAATCAGCCACATGCTCGATAACGAGGAGATCTCGCCTTTCCTCGGGACGATCCCGAGGGTTGGCCTGGTGAGAGCTATCGTTCTTCTACGTTCTTCCACGAATGCCGATACCAACATGCCCCCTATGCACAAAACCAGGCCTATGCCCACTCTCTGGAGGAGTGTTATACCGCCTTCTTTCCCCGTGATTCTTGTGAGGAACGGGACGAGAACACGGTCGTATATAGGGATGAAAACTGTCAGTCCCAACATCAAGAACACGGTGTAGGTAGCAGCCGGGATCTGGAAGCTTCCAGAACCTAAATGTCTGTCGGATTGAAGGGCTTGGAAGATTGTATACGTCGTTTGTTGGATGTAAGCTAAGTAAAAGAACGAAGCCGAGATCCATATAGGAAGAACTCGGACCACACATTTCACTTCTTCCACCTGTTGCATACTGCAAAGTCTCCATGGATCGGCAGGAGATCCATCCGGAGCCACCTTGTCGTCCGGTGTCAAGATCGCCGCTTTGTCAAGGCATCTGAAAAACACCGAAAAAAGTTGAGTTCTTGGGTGAGAAGCTAACAAAAAAAAAAAAAAAGGAATCGAATTACTGGTTTTCAAACCCATTTCAATACCTGAACTGATCTGTGTGGGCAAGCTTCGAGTTCGCAAAATCTTGAGGGATGTAGTTGTAAAGGTGGACAGAGGGCTCGGGAACGGGCTTCAACCGAGCTTTCTTGATCGCGGCTACGAGAACCCGGGTTATGCCGAGGACAGGACTGCCGCTAGGTTTCACCTTGACGTATAGCTTCGAACCCGCAAAGAAGATAACGCAACCGAGAAACATGAGAATGGCAGGGAGCGCCCA